TATTTGGAAGCAGTTCCAGTATCTGAGACCAGGTGGCTTCACCTGCAGCAGCGATTGGGGCATCTGTTATGGCAGTGATCTTGGCCTTGGAGAGAGGCTGGGGACAAGGAGAGTCACATTGATGATGGGGATCCTCTCCCTGGGCGATCCTGCCTTTGGCTCTCCCCCTCTTCATGCCCCAGCAGCACTGTCAGGTTTAGTCTTTTGATCTATCTTAAGTTCAATAAAAATGTGCTTTTGGCAGAGACGCCCTGCTCGTATCTGCCCGACAATCGATCAGCCTTCTTCACTTCTGTGCTCCAACAATGTTGGCTGGACAGTTTTGCACATGCACTTAAAAACCCTCACACACCGGGGGAATCACTTGCAAGAAAGGCAGCTCTTGGCTTTACCTCATATTCCCCTCCTCTCCCTCTCATCTCGCGTCTTGACTAGAAATATTAACCCCACAGCCTGGAAAATATTGAAGACTTAACAGCATAGTCTATAATTTCAAAACATATTTAAAGATGCAAGCAAAAATTTTTGGTTATTGAAAGAGTGCCATCTTTTCTTCAAAAGGAAAAAAAAAGTATGTGTGAGGCACGGGTGACAAAAGAAGTAAAACAAAAATTCCTCAGATTTAATAACCTAATTTTCTCCATTTTTAGACTTTTGATTTTGTCTTGTAACATTCTGTATGCTTTGGTATTGGGAGCATGCTGGTGTAGTGGTTGCATGCTGGCCTGCTTACTCCAGGGTCAGCAGTTCAAAACCTCCAGCTGGATCTATGTGAGAAAGAGACTTTCTACTCTCATAAAGAGCTGCAGTCTCAGAGATGCCCGGGCGCCATTCTCCGCTATCCTGGAGGGTGACCACGAGTCAGAATTGACATGACGGCACTGAATTTGGTTTTGAGTGTACTTTAGAATTATACGTTTTTGGTTCTGCAGCTAGTCTATTGGAATCTGCCTCAATTAATTTGGAAAATAAAGCAATTCTACCTATAGGCCAGTGGTTCTCAACCTGTGGGTTGTGGCCCCTTAAGGGTGGGTCAAATGACCCTTGCACAGGGGTTGCCTAAGACTATAGGAAAACAGATACATATTTTACAATATATAATTACATATTGCTTTGTGATTAATCACTATGCTTGAATTATATTTAATTATGTTGAATTTATAACAATGAAAATACATTCTGCATATCAGATGTTTACATTACAATTCCTAACAGTAGCAAAATCACAGCTATGAAGTAGCAACGAAAATAATTTTATGGTTGGGGGTCACCGCCACATGAGGAACTATATTAAAGGGTCATGGCATTAGGAAGGTTGAGAACCGCTGCTATAGGCCTTTAAAGAACTCTATCTGGATATAAGGTAGACATTCAGTTCTGCGGAGTGATTTACCTACTACTTTCTAATGATTAAGTACTGTCTGAAGTTCTTTCAGGGAAGCAGTGTTATAGTTGTTAGTGTTCTGCCATCAGACTGCTTGAGTTCAAATTCAGGGAATCTACAATGTACAAATGTACAGGGTTTTAGTTGCTTAGTATTTTCGAGCCTCATGTTCCCCCATCCTTATTGCTTCCCCCCATCATAAACATATACATGTACACATTGCCTTCCTCATCTTTCACTTACTTTCATCTCTGATCCTATTTTCCAACAGCGACTGACAGAATTATTAGCAACCATGATTT